GATATACAGCCGGACATTAGAGGAACACATCAGACACATCCGGGCAGTGTTGGATCGACTTCGGTCGGAGAAATTGTTCGGACATTTGAAGAAGTGCGAGTTCTTCAGAACCGAGGTCGAGTACCTCGGGTTTGATGTGGGGGCAAACGGTGTGAAGCCCTCACTGTCCAAGGTCGAGGCAATTCTGAATTGGCCTACCCCTGAGAGCGTCACAAACATCCGATCCTTTTTGGGGCTGACAAACTTCTATAGGAAGTTCATCAGGTGGTTCAGTGAGAATGCAACCCTACTGACAGACCTCACGAGGAAGAATAGACAGTGGAAGTGGAGTGATATAGAGGAACAGGCATTCAACCGACTGAAGACAGCTATGGTGATAGCACCTATTCTTCAGCTGCTAGACGTTGACCGAGAATTTGTGGTAACAACGGATGCCTCAGATGTATCAATTGGAGCCATCCTGCAGCAGGACTTCGGTAGTGGACTACAGCCTATTTGTTACGAGAGCCGAAAGATAAATCCTGCTGAGACTCGGTACAGTGCTTACGAGCGGGAGCTATTGGGCATTGTGTGGTCGGTTGGAAAATGGAGGCATTACTTAGCCTGCAACCACTTCACTATCAAGACGGACCACGACAGTCTGAAGAATTTACCAAACCAACCGTCGGTTAATAGGAGGGTTTGGAAATGGGTTCAGATCTTGCAGGGATATGATTGTGACATTGTCCACATTCCGGGAAAGGACAATCCTGCAGACTTCCTGTCCCGCCAGAGCATCCGGGACATTCGCAGTATGGTGGATGTGTGGGCGCAGGAAGAGTCGTTGGTCCAAAGGTTGAGGTTAGGAGAGGATGATCAGTCCGACGATGCTATACAAAGGAAATTGGATGACGCATTTAAGAAGTCCAAATTGGAGATTCCTACAACAGAGGGAGCCGACGAGGGAATCCATTCTTTATTCGTGACATCCACGCGAATAACTTTGGATACGTCTCTGAAGGACCAGATAGAGAGAGGGTACCAAGAGGACGTGCGATGGGACGATATCATAAGACAATTGGCTTCGTCCCAGGTACAGACCATTCGTGTAGGCACCCATGTCTATCGAAAGGCTCATGGATTATTGGAGGTGCACAGTAAAGAGGAGGACACAGAGGTACATCGATGGAGAGTGGTCATACCTGATATACCGGAGATTAAGAGGAGGATCATGGGGGAGTTACATACAGTTCCCTACTCCGGACATCTAGGATACCACAAGATGCTCAAGAAAGTCCAACAAAACTTCTATTGGCCAGACCATACAGTGGATGTTAGAGACTTTGTTCTCGGATGTCAGGTTTGCCAGATGGAGAAGAGCGTCCATAGGGTACTAGCAGGACTCCTACAACCGTTGAAACTCCCTGAGGAGAAATGGGTCGACGTCAGCATGGACTACATTATGGGATTACCAGTCAGTGAACATGGACACGATGGAATTCTGACAGTTGTGGACCGAGCTACGAAAATGGTACATTTGATGCCAGTCAAGCAAAGCATTACGGCAGCAGAGACCGCTCAGCTCTACTGGGAAAACGTTGGAAAATATCATGGAATTCCACGTTCCATCGTTTCGGATAGAGATCCCAGATTTGTGTCCAAGTTCTGGCGAGAACTTTGGAGAGTATTCGGGAGTCGGCTGAGGATGTCCAATGCACACCACCCACAGACCGATGGACAAACGGAGATAATAAATAGGGTGGTGGAGATGGTCCTCTGATGCACCATATATGAGTCTTTATCAGAGATAGCGGACTGGGAAAAATACCTCTCGATGGTGGAATTCGTTATGAACAACAGCGTCTCCCAGTCTATGGGGTACACGCCATTCTATTTGAACTATGGTTATGAGCCGTGTACACCCATCGACTTGATTCGGGATGCAGACACCACATGCATTGAGGGTGTCAATGTTTTTGTATCCCGAATGCAGAAGACCTTCAAGAGGGCAATGCAGTATGTCCATCAGGCTCAACAACGACAAAAATCCCTCGCCGATCAGCGGCGAAGAGAGCATGTGTTCCATAGTGGAGAGCAGGTGCTTCTCAGTACACAACATCTGACATTGAAGAACGCACCTGTTAGCAAGCTGAGGAGGAGATTCGTGGGCCCATTCTTCGTGACCCGGAGAGTCGGACCAATGGCCTACGAACTAGATCTTCCCACTTCATGGGAGATCCATAGGATTTTTCACACAAGCTTGCTACGGCCATTTCGAGTGTCGAAATGGACACCTGCAACAGTTGCTGAAACAGAGGAGGAGGTCGAGCCTGAGGACGACGAGCCCTATGATGTGGAGAAACTTCTGCGGTGGCGTTGGAGAGGACCCAGTCAGAGGAGGATCAGAGAGTATTTAGTCCTTTGGAAGGACTGGTCAATCGATGACGCTTCCTGGGTGCCCGAGGAAAATTTCAATCACCCAAGGGAATTGGGGAAAATGATCGCCCGGGACAAACCCATTGAGGACCCTAATTAGGTCTACAATCGGGTAATGGTAGAATATACTGATTTATAGGAGTCAGTGTTTTCGAGAGCGAAAACTTTCCCCAAGGGGGGAGTAGTGTGACGGAATTACATGGGGAGACCGTTTACTCCCTTGACTTTTCCCCCCTGTTCCCTAAGGCCTCTTATTGGGAACATTATTGTCTTAAATTATGTTGATTGACTACCCAATTAAGGGCCCTAGTAGATGGGATTAGGGCCCTAGGAGGCTGCTCTTTTATTTGGGTGATTTCCGGCCAGCTGCAATACTTTACGGCAGCTTGGGGAACGGCTGTACATTGCACAGATGACTTTGGATGTTTTTGGGCCCACGGCGGGCGACCCGGGACGCGGTACGCCCTGCCGCACAAAAGACTTGTAGTTGAGTCATCAGTAATCCACTTTGCTTGCCGATTCTGGCAAACGCCTCCGGATCGCGCGGATCGGACCACAATCCGGCGCGACCGAGCTCGCAGCATCCCGGCCTCCATCGCCGCACACTCAGCGACCTTCCAGGGATCTGGGCCCACCACCTCGGAGTGCAACGAGCGCGCGCCCCAGTCAAGCCGTGGCCAATTGCGGCCGTGCGGGCCATTCCGGCCATTCGGGCGACAAGGCGGCGGCGCAACGCACGATTCGAAAACCAGCACCCCATCACACCGTATATCATATATCATATATCAACCACTCACTCGCCCTCACAACCGCGATGATTGGTGGGATGTGGGACGCTGGGATGAGAGGGGGTACCCCAGTAACTATCGCACACGTCGTAGGGGCGAAAAACTCTCCTAGCAAGATAGGGATCGTGAGGCTTATCGCAGAAAGAACGCGCATTACGTGGTCGGGCGCTGGTTGATTTGTTCGAGGGGAGGTGGGGTGTATATTTGGTCTGAGTACTCGGGGGATGGTGTCTCGCGTTTGGCCCCTCTGAACACCCCTCGGAATTTTGTCGCGGCCCCACCGAATCCGAACGCGTTACCACGGACAAGGGGTTTTGGGGTAGTGGTTGCGGGGTGGACCCCTGACTGAAGCAGGGGAGGAATGCAAAGAACCAGGGGCCAACACCGCGCCAATTTCCACCGCGAAGCATTGCTCTAAGTGGGGATGAAGGGGGATGAGTGAGGGAAGACATTATTGGGCTGTTATCAGGATTGTGTTACCACTACGTAGATAAATGTGCTCATATCGTGCTTAGGTTTCTAGGTGGTGAAGAGGAAGGGAGTAAGAAGTAAGTAATGGATGCCGGGTTCTCGACTGCAGGGACGCAGTCGGCTTGAGGCGTAAGTCCTGTTATGGATGAGGTAGTCATTGGGAGCGGGATTTCATTTGGGGCGCAAGTTTAAGTCCAGATTGCCGATGCCAACGTGGGGCCTTCTGGAACTAACGAACGAGGAAGGATTATGGCTAATAAGGCGTTGTATAAAAGGATGAATCTGTAATGAGCACCGCTCTTGCCGCCGTTGGGAAGAGCACGGGTACGCGCCTCCAAGTGATCTGCCCCGCTCCCGCTTGCGCATTGCGAGGGAACCCACATACCAATTGTGCGTTAACACGAGCACACTCGTTGCTGTAGGTATTGAACTGGGCCCCACTGAAAACACGGGTCGGGTCGCACTGAATGACTCACTGAATTGAAGGCCCGCTGAGGGCCAGCATAAAATTACTCCCTACATCAAATCGGTGACTGCTTGCACGAAAATGGTGACTGCTTGCACCAAGTCACGTACACATCATGTCCAACTCCGTCAAAACTAACCTAACCTAAAACCTAAACCCTAAACCCTAAACCTAAACCTGTCCTAACCCTAACCCTAAAACTCACCCTGAACTAAACCTAACCCCAAAAACTGAGGTTAGGACAAAGTGTGCACGTGACTTGGTGCAAGCAGTCACCGATTTGGTGCAGGCAGTAATATTATTTCCTGAGGGCCGCCCCACGGTGTCGAGGTCGCACTGTACCCGCTGTTCCCCCCCTGTTCCCCGCAAGCTTGATCAGACGCCGGGCGGCTCAGCGCCCCGGGCTCAGGCGGATCGCCCCAACATGTCGGGCGGTGAAGTCATGCCGCCGGTCACGGGCTGTTGACAGGCTTCGCCGCCCGAATCAGAGGGCCCCGCGGGCGCGACGCCACCCCGGCCGCGTTCCGGAGGCAGCCCGGTTGCCAGCTTCCATCCCGGGCCCCGCGCCCCCTATTTCGATACTCCACTGCAGCAGCACGTCCCAGGAGGGAGGCGAGCCAATAAGGTCGGCAGAGGCGGAGGAGAAAGGAGAAAGGAGACGGGAGAGGAAGAAAGGGCGACCGCCGGCGGAAACCGGAAACCGGAATCGGAGACGGCCAATCGGAAACCCTGAGGAGCAAAACCCCAGGACTTGCCGTCGCCTGGTGTGGGGAGAACGTCAGTGAGCTTCTGCCGAGCCAGCCGATCCCGCTCTTCGACCTGTTTGGACGCTGCCCGGTGCATTTTTTCGGCTGCTGAAGATGCCGGGCTACCGAGGAGGCGGTGGCGGGGCGGCCTACGGGCCCGTGGAGTTCGGGCCCGTGAGGTACGCGGTGCCGCCCGGTCAGATGGAGGGGCTGGGAATGCCGCCGGTGGTCTTCCCCTACGCCGTGGCGCCCGGCCAGGGCCCGGTGTACGCGTCCGTGGGGCCGATGCCCACGCACGGCGTGCCGGACGGCGTGCCCGTGCGCGGCTTCAGCCCCTTCGGCCACGTCCCGGCCACGGGCGGCATGGTGCGCGGGATGGCCACGCCGGACCTCATAATGGATGGTATGGAGCGATTGTCGCTGAACCCGATGGCCAAGGAGTTTGTGCCGCCGGGAATGCGGGGAGTGGCGGCAATGTATCCGGGGGGAATGCAGGTGGGGATTGGGGGTGGGAAGTTCAGTGGGCAGGCGAAGGGCAAGGGCGAGGCCGGGGCCGCGGGCGCTGGAGGCGGGGCGCAGAATGGGAGGCTGCGGTCGAGGAAAAGGCGGTCGCGGCGGAGCCGAAACCAGCAGCAGGCGCTGCAGGAGAACATCCGGCGGACGATCTACATCAGCGACATCGACCAGCAGGTGACGGAGGAGCAGCTGGCTGTGCTGTTCAGCAAATGCGGCACGGTGGTTGACTGCCGCGTGTGCGGGGACCCCAACTCCGCGATGCGCTTCGCGTTCGTGGAGTTCTTGAGTGAGGAGGGGGCGCAGAAGGCGCTGAAGAAGAACGGCACGGAGATCGGCGCGTCGCGGCTGCGGGTGCTGCCGTCCAAGACGGCGATCGTGCCCGTCAATAAGGACCTGATGCCCAAGAATAAAGAGGAGATGGAGCAGTGCAGCAGGACCGTGTACGCGACCAACATCGACAAGAAGGTCGACAGGAACGACGTGAAGAGGTTCTTCGAGGCGCTGTGCGGGCCGGTCCAGAAGCTCAGGCTGCTGGGCGACCACGCGCACTCCACGCGGATCGCCTTCGTGGAGTTCAGCCAGGCGGAGAGCGCCCTGGCGGCCCTCTCTTGCAGCGGCGCCCTCCTGGGGACCATGCCCATCCGCGTGTCGCCGTCCAAGACGCCTGTCCGATTCTGCGGCTCACACGACAAGGAGTGAGGCGCCCACGCGTTCGGCCGGGGCTGTGTGCGGGCCGAGTGCCCGCGGCAGCGGAGGGCGCGACGATTCGAAGCGCCCTGGATGATGTTCGGGGATTTTCACGGGGGCTTTGGGGGCCGGGCTTGGGCCCGCGGGTTTCTGCGTTTGAAACGTGAGCGTTGAAGCGCCGAGGCCTTTGTGCACTTTATCGATTGCGGGGGCTGGGGGCGGGTTGGGGTGGGGTGGCGGGCGTTTTTACAGTGATTGGTGGCGTGGAGGGCTGTTGCTGGCTGTGCTGGATAAAGGTTTGAAGGAATCCCTGCGTGCCCAATAGTGTAGACTGGGCGTGTGTGTGTGGGTAGTCGGGATGGGCAGTTCACCTTGGCTTTGTGACTGGATAAGTTCGACTGGCAGGATAAAAGAGCCCCAGCGGCTTGGGCAGGTCAGCTAATTCTTTTGTATGGGACCGATTGGATGGGACAGGTGCAGCTGGGGGCGCAATGCCAGCTGTGGTGAGAGATTGCTACTGTAGTCTGATTATTTTGTTGGGCTGCCTCAGAACAATAGAATTAAACCCTAAATTGTGGGAGCAACACGACAAAGGCATAAATGGGTTTTCTCCAAATTGTGTGTGTTGACTGCACAAGCCAAGGAAGCATGGTTGGCGACCTCTCCCTCCTCAAAGCCACGCTGCATAGGGTAGACCACGGGACGGGTGTGGGGGGGGATAGCTATGATGTCATGTGGCTGGGTGCCCCCTTCCCTCGGTGGTTCGAGTTTTGGTGTCCAAAGTAGGCGAATTTGATCTGCTTGGAATCTGGCGGGTAGAATGGAGCGGCATAATTTGTCGGTGCAACATGAGACGAGACAACAAGTATGTTCACACGAGGTGCTATGAATCTGCCTTGGGGCTGTACATGATGGTGGAGGCGCGTGCCCCACGCAGGAAGGTATGAACAGGCTAGAGATCTGCAATGGGCAGCTATTGATGTTCAATGATTTGATTTTGGTGCTTTGTGTTGGATGTGTCTGGTGCAGTGCTGCTGCGTTGCTGTGCCTGGGGTGCTCAGTATGTGGAACGAATGTATTGTGTGTTCTCGAGTCCAGCGAGGTCTGTAAATAATGCGCTGGGTTTCAGGACACATTGGTTAATTGCTTGTGTCAGTTCCTCGTAATTGGGTCGACCCCTGCCTGGCCACGGCAGTTGCTGTTCGGCGGCAGTGGACCTCCTTTCTCTGGGCTGTTTCGCCACCTAGTATTTCCGAAGTGGTACTACCGGTTTGGGGAATACAGCTGACAGGGCAGTGTGGCTGCTTTGGCGGCGCTGCACAGTGCTGCACAATGCACGTTGCTGCTGTGGGAGTGTGTCTGCCCGTTGAAATACGCAGGCGTGTCTCAGCGTACCATTCAATGCACCCTGCTCACAGGCGCCAGGTTTTGGTGGGGGCGTCCACTGCTCTATGCGCCAATTGGCGAGTGGGCAAAGATAGCTGTTGTATTTTGATCTGGGTGTGAAGGCCACCACCTGAAACGCAATTGGGGACAAATTGAAAGACATACCTTCCATAAACATGCACTGGGTGTAGCTGTATCTCCGCATGCCCCCTTGTCGCATATCAAACTGCAAACGGCCCACAGTCGAACCAAACTTATTGAAATGTGGGGCGTGGTAGCCGAATCGACGACCGTGGACAAAAATGCAATCGTGAATGGCTGGTGGCTGCAAGCGGCTGCGTCTGTGCCTTGCCAACGGGCTTGCCACCAGTGCGGCTGCACGCCCACAGGCGAGCTCGGTCGCGCAGCGCACAAGCGGCCGTGAGCTCGATTTGCGGGCCCCCGACCTTCCCAACTGACAAGCAAACGACGGCGTTGGGATTGTGGAGCCAGGAACGCTCTTTGGCTCCAAGCCACACGAGTGACGTCTGCACCGGTGTTGGGTGGAAGGGTACTTCAGTGGTTGGACTGCCCTCTTCCTTACCTCTGGCCAGGTGGTTTGGTACAGCCGTGGGACACCCCATCCAGATGTGCCCGGTGCGATCCCCGGTCAGACATTCGATTTTCCACCTGACGCGATACTCGTCCCGCCTGAGTCCACATTGGCCAAGTACGTTACAATATCTCCAATGGGGGTCCGTCACCCAAACATGGCCCAATGACTGTCGACCATAAAATTTGCCCTTGCTCCGCGAATCAAACCACAGTTGCTTTCCTTAGTACTTTGCACTTCACAAATTCCGCCTTCCAACCAAAATCACCCTCATAGGCATGTCCGGGAGGGAGAGCAAAACAGGATGGAGGCGGTCAGGGGCGCCACCCTAAATTAGGTGGCACCCCTTCCCGCCAAAACTTGTCCAGCCTCGCAGGTGATCAACTGGCTGTGGCTCCCTATCAAAGCACGCACGAATGCAGCTATGCAACTGGCCAACACTCGCCGCCCTTGGGCACTGACGTCCGGGCGACAGCCAGGGCAACCACCACAGGTGCGGTGCCCCGCCCTGGCTGCAGACGTGTTCTCGTTTCCCGCCCACGTCTCCCTACGCAGAAGCTCATTAACTACGGTAATCCCTTTACCATCCGCACTCCAACAACCGGGCGGCGACAATATTTGGAAACTGTGGCTGTTGCGTTATTGTGTCAGTGCGGTCACAAGACAAGCCATTTGGAGCTTGTGAGGCTCCCGACGAGCACGAGGGGCCAAGCATGAAACCGCAGGAGCGGCGACAGGTGCTAGATGTAGCCCGAGGGCTGGGCGGACAGGCGAAATGTAGCACAGGGGCCAGGGCTACATCAGCCCTCGGGGGCGGAATCAGCGACGGACCAGCTCAGCGGGGGCGGAATCGCCCGGTCCAGTGCCGTGCCGTACTAGGCAGGACAAGGCTGAGTCCCGGTCCTCTGAAGTACTGCGCTAATGTACAAGGCCCCAAAGTTACCGTGGGAACAGTGGGAGATTTGTAAGAGCAACAGCACGTTGTTTCCTGTTCACGGACAGTCTGATCAGACGCGTGTCATGCATGCTTGGAAACGGCGTTTCGGGGCTTGTTCGGTGAGGTGGCTGAGAGGACTTTGGCTCCCACAAAACATTGGACAGTTGCAGGCGACGCGTGACATCAGCTCCTTGTAGGTGCACGCTAGGGAGGGCAAATCTTGCGTGAGCTTTGCTGTTTCATTTAAGGACGCATTCACATTCAGACGCGTGTCCCGCACACAGCAACTCCTCCAACACGTGCGTACGTTGATGAATCGTCGAAACAACAGTCGTGAGCCTGTGCGCAGGTGCAACTTCAACAAACAATCAAAAAACAACACGGGTGAAATCGCAACAAAATTTTTAGCCCCTCATCTGTTACTGCCGGTCGTTTTGTTCCTGAATATCCACCCCAAGGGGACCGCCACATGAAATGAATACTAACATCAGCAGCAGATTGTGAACTCTGACATTCGTGTCGTTTTCAGAAACTACACACCACTGTTGAAGTTATGTTTTCGTAAATGGCTAGACGGCGGCTGTAAGCAGTTATAAATATGTTCAGCTGGACATCTGGGTGATTTTGCTGCCATGCTTATGGTGCATTCTGACTGGGGAACGGTGTATCGGCGCTGCGGCAATGTTGTTGCAGGAAGCTTCAGGCTGCGCTGAAAATGACATCGGCTCTTGCCAGAATTGATGCATGAGCACTGTTGTAGCACTGTATACCAATGCGCCAGCGGCGTTTTTGTCTCAAGGAATGTCAGCATTGATGTCGCATTACTGCTGCAGCAAAAGCTGTCCAAAAGTCACAGCTGTTGTTGCTCCAGTTTTGCAATTCTTTTCGCTGAGCATCAAAATCCCATGAAAGTTTTGTCTTTCAACAATGTATGTTGTCTTCAGCATGAAATATTTCCATCTCAACTGATCTTGTTGTTAAATTGCTCACACCACCTGTGTATGTCATATGGACTGACTGTTGGGAACCAGGTGTCACACGAGGCAATTCACAACATCAATGTGCGTTGTTCTAAAGTTCAGCGTATTTCAGCGCGACGAGCGATTTGAATAGCGGAAAAAGTGCTTTTTAGTTCACCATCATCAAGAGATCTTACATATAGGGACCTGGCGGCGAGCAATTCAATGCAACTCTTGGTGTTTTTTGTGTGCTGATTAAATAGACGGCCCTTGATCAATGCTTAAATTTTGAAATCGAAATACACCATTTTGTGCGCTTGTGTGTCAGGATAAAACTCTGAAAGAACATTTAGGTAGTTGAAAGCGGGACATGCGCTCATCACGAGCCCTGAAGCCCTTCATCACGTAAGCCATCCACTGCCCTGCCCATGGTAACATACGTCGAAGCCACTCAAGTATTTTCGACAGCGCAATGCAAAAACACCTCTTGCTTCACTTCCCGATCGCCAAATGGCGAGGGCACTTTCTTTTTGTGATGTATCATCATCGACAATCGCTTTTTGGCATCAGGAGTTAATAGAACCCGAGACTCTGTTTGGGTTCAACACTGGATTTCAATGAACTCATAATAGACGCGGCTTTGTTCGGGCAAAATAGTAAGCTGACGGCGGCTATCTCATTGCCTTGTTATGTAAAAATGAGTGATGACGACGAAAAACCTCGTCACGTCAGTTGTCCGCTGTTGACGGCATCTTCGGTGTTTGCCATCATCAAGAATTCTTGCATATCAAGGCGAGGAGGCAGCCATCAGCTCCCCACGTCGCCCGAGCATAGCAGTGTCCCGGATCTGTTTAATGAGAAAATAATCAGTTTCTCACGAAACGCTTTTTATAGGAACGTTTCTTATGAAATGCTTCTTATCATATCATGCCTTCTTACAAGGCATTGCCACAATCCAGCAATTGAGTTGCTGTCCATTAAAGCGCCCAAAATTCACAAGTTTGGTGTTGCCAAACCGACTTGACCCATTGATCTCAATTCGACCGCTGCACTCAGAGGACAAAAGAAACCATCGGGAGGCCCCTCGCATTGATCAAATGCGCCAGCGGCGCCCCATGGTGCCCGGCCAGCCGTACTGGCTTCCAGCGGGGCCGCCTTCCCGGGCAGCATTGCGACCATACGGCCCTCCAACTCGGTCCTCCCCGTTCCCTCGGAACCCTCAACCATGGATCAGCCCGCCGAGGAAGTCGACCCGCGGCCGCGGCGCAGCAGCGCCAACGGCAGGGTGGCCAGCTGGGTGTCGCAGACCGCCAGGAGCTTCAAGGAGTCGCTCAACCCCAAAGTGACGTTCGGAAAGCGCCCCTCGCTGGACAGGGGCTGCGCCAGGGAGGAGGACAGCGCCGCGCTGACGGGGATGCGGCCAAGGAGCAACACGGACCCCAACTGCGTCTCCGACGGCGTTGACTATCAGAGGCAGACGAGCGGGAAGTCGGCGGGCTGCGCCCACAGTCACCGGGGCCACATGACGTCCTATTTGCTGAAGCCGTTGGGGAGGGGCGCGAGCGGGGATGGCAGCGAGAATTCCGTCCATTGAGGCGCGGGAGACGGTGGCAGGGCGCGCGGCGGGGCGGGTGTCATCCACGGCAGACCCGGCCCAAGTTTTGGAAGCGTGTGGATGCTGTTGGGAATCCTCTTGGAATGCGGAAGGCTGGGGCTGCGGTGAGAAAAACGGAGGATGGCATCAAAGCTGGCTGCGTGTGGGGCAGCCGCGCAAAAAGGTGTGACCGGCGACGGATTGGAACCCCAGTCGATCGGAGATCTGAGCGCACGGTCGGAGATCCTGACATTCTCTAGACGTGGGCGAGGTTTGCCTAAAGACTGCGGCCTCTTTACCGCTGCCATCGTCGTGGAGGCACTGCAAAAAATAGCAACCTGAACCTGTTTCAGCCACCGAAAGTTAATCCCTGAATCTGATAAGGCCCATTTGGCCTTTGGGAATCTGACGGTGGACTGGACAGATGGGAGGCAACATCTCCCTATTAATGCAATATACCTGACCCTGAGGAACTGCTTCGTCACTGTGCTACAGCGCACGAACACGAATGCGGCAGCCAAAGCTAATTGCCTTGGCACCATTGCCTGTGGTGCTTTTGCTGCAACATTGTGAATAATGAGGACCAGGGCATGCAAAGCACGTGTCCATGAGCCTGAGTCAATGAGCTAAATCAGCATTTCGACACCCTTGCAGTCCAGTAGCGTTATACAAGCGCTGACGTGTAGACACACGTTCGGAAGCGAGGTGTCCACAACAAACACCCAGCTTTCCTGGGCAATTGCACGGATATAATGTGTCAGAGGGCATTCGGTAGGTCCAATTGTGTGGCGAAAGTGCTGCTGGGTGGTATACTGGCAACGCATGCTGCACGCGTGAGTTTTGTATACGCAGTTCACTGATGATATAACGTCCCTCATTCTGAAGACATGCTGTGTCGTTTGAGATGCTGTGACGTGTTGTCCCACATTCTGGTGCGTTCGCCTCCCCCTTCGTACCCGAGCCCCTGGACTGCAGATCCAGGACAGCTTGGGTGCAATCCTGAAAAGAATGTCCACTGAATTTGAAAACCGCGCAAGGGTTAAGGTGGCACTGACTGGCACCTGTCCGCCGTGTTAGCAGCAACTTGCCCGGCCACTTTGAGCCACGTTCAGCTCTTGTAGATTAGGTATCTTGGGCGCTCTCTGGATTGGCTATCGTCGTTGCAGTCACTGAACTAATGAAAACGCATGTCATTGTCGCGTAGACACAAAAAGAAAGCCAGAAAGGGTAATAGTTGGTGCGCCCATGATGAATGGCATCCATTGGATGCCGCTGGGGCCACAATTTGACCACAGCTTGCCATATGCATGGCGATGATTTTGCTTTACACTGCAGCGAGGAGGTTATGCATTCCGGAGTTAAAAAAATGAATCTACTTCTTTCGTCCCAAATTAAATTGCAGTCGTGAACCGTGGGCCTGGACAACTTACCAAATCACCTCAGATTTACACAAAATTTTGCGTAACGTTGTTTGAGTCTAATTTGTGCTCCCAAATTTTTGAGTCAATTGGCTAAGTATTCAATCTGCAATGTCATCTTGAGCACATGTCGCTCAGCCAATCGTTGCAACTGTTTTCCCTTTCTTTCGGCTGGCACCGACCTTCAATACCCTTGAAAACTCCTCAGCCTGTTTCAATTGAGACGAACTGCTGCAATGACGCGGCAACGCTGGAATACCCCAAGCCTGGGTCACCGATGACGCACATGCAATTGCCGCATAGGCACATTCAGCTCGCATATTCAATTCACAGAGTTCTCAAACAAACCAGTTGATGCGATCGGGAAAATAAGTGGTGCACCTGCCGTCCAAGTTTCGTGTAACCCATCCAGGTGCACTCATGTCCCTTTGACACAGGCAGCATACTCTGTACCATGTCGTGCCCACACATCGTTTCGATGCACTTCGATCCATGCAGATAGTTTTGCCACACAGAAGATCTGGCCAGACGCTTCCTTGCTTACAAATAGCATGCCCACAGTTTCACGAAGGCTGCAAGCATGGAATTGTAACACCTCCAGCGAACTGTAGAAGAGTTATACGAGGCCACAGACAGGTGGGTTTGCAGAATTTACACAGTTCTCAGTTCTCACGAAATCGTTTTCTACAGCTCTGCCCTTCCCTATCAAAACATGCTACCACCTGTAGGCAAACTCCTACTGTACAATCCTGTTGGATCTCATCTTCAACGTACGCCTGCCACCCTGGCATGCCTGTTGCTGGACAACAGGATGGGCAATCGCCGCCTGCACTCATCCCTGAGTGAGCACCCACCGCTGACAAACTGCTGCTAGAATTTTGTGGGCAATCCTGTTGGATGATCAGGTGCCCATATCCTGGTTGGTTCCTCAGTCACTTAGCAATCCGTCCACCAAAATGTGATTGACACTCCGAACGTCCTGTGTCCAGAGAGGCACTTGGCTTGGTCAAGCCAATCAAAGGGAAGCTATTGTTGCCAATGCAGTTCCGTTGTCACGTGCAACATGCTCTTGTCAATAACATAAGGTGGCTGCTGCCGACTGTTGATCCTCTGACCCAACTGCCACATCATCATCGCATGTGCTGTCATTGGCCTGGTGCAATTGCGGCTGCACACGGCACCGCATTGCAATACAACAGTCACGACAGGTGAGGACGTGCAGGAAACTATAAATGCAGCCCCAGCCCAACCTTCCCTCAGCTGCACTTTCTCCAGTATGCAGTGTCTGCACTAACCCCTCTGCAAAGACAAGCATACTCCCAAATCTGGCCACCAATGGCCGCGACCTCGATCCTAACAAAAGCCATGATTGCCCCCAATCCCTGTGATCGCCTGCAAGGTATTCGCCTGTCATTTTCCTACTGCAGATGCAATCCATGGAAGCACCTCTCCACACACACACACACACACCACTTTTGCCCCCACTACCAAACTACCCGCTTGCAAATTCGGCCCAGCACAAGGCGGGCCGCTGGCCAACACAATTCTAGTCGTAGTGGGATCTATACCGGATCCTGCGGGCTCTCCTCCTGGCATCCAACCTCCCCACGCTGGGCCCAGCGATCGCGTACACAAATGTCACGGACCCTCCGTATAGCAGCCCCAAAAAGCTGACGATCACACTCAAGGCCCCTATCGACGCCAGGCCAAAGAAGACGATCGCGCTCAAAATGTCCGGCCGGAACGATGCAATCATCCCCGGCAGCGCGAAGACGAAGAACAGCAACGACATCAGCATGCCCGTTGTGAAGTTGACGCAGACGATCGCCACCAGGTTGAGTATCCTGCCCAGGGCGTCCGGCTCCCTGGACAGCAGCATCGAGTACATGGCGTCCCACAGACTCTGCCGCTGCGCGAACAGCTTACCCCGGCCGTAGGAATCCCAGAACAGCGCCCGGCCCTCGCTCAGGCCCGCCTCGCTCCAGATCCCCAGCTCTGACTTCGCCGAGCTCAACTTCGAAGCCTTCTCTGCGCTCAGCCTTTCGACCTCCGCCCTCGCTTGGGCCTCCCACACCTGCCGATCGCGCACGACCTTCCTGTGCTCCGGCCGGAAGCGCCAGAACCATACCTGGGCGGCCTGCACTTGCGCGCGCGCCTCCACATACTCGGAGTACGCCCATGCCAGCCTCTGCTCAGCGTCCTGCACCAGCTCCATCCCCTCCTCGAACCTGGCCTGCATCTCCGGCGTGATCCGCACGGGCGCCGGCGACAGGAAGGCCGAGAACAGGCCCAGCAGCCACAGGGCCACGAGGGTGGCCACCTTGGGATGCCTGTCCAGGCGCAGGCTGCGAATGATCCCCACCGCGCCGCTCCCCCCCAGCAAGGAGGGGTGGGACACGGAGACCCTGTTGCCCCGGGGGGGGATGGGCATGTCGTAGGCGGACATGCACCAGATAGGCGTCGAAATCTGTCTGTTGGTATTTGAGGCCGCTCGCCGATCCAAGAGCCGGCGATGGCGGTCGGATGGTGTCCCGGGGCCGGCCCTTCACGCTGGCGAGCGCCCTTGCTTTCCTGGAGAAGCCGTGGGGCCGCACGGGCGCCGGATCGTCGAGTTGAAGCTGTGCGGCAATGCCGGGGGGGCTGGGCGTCAGGTGTCCATGCTCTGGGGGCGCCGCGCCCTGCGGCCTTAAGTACGGCAGCAGGGACGCGGGGGTGCTTCCACAGGGTTCGCGATGCTGTCGATATTCGAGACGCACGTGCCGCTGGGCTGCAACAACGCCGCTCCTCCCGGCCGGCTGCCGTATCTACTGTGTTCCGGAGACGGACCATCGTGGATCCTGGCGGAGAACGGTCACGGTCACGGAGACGAGACGGAGACGGAGACGGCACACATGTCTAGTGCACAATTCCCGCAAGCGAACCCGATGGGCGACAGGGGGTGTTGCCCATCGGTCGCCGCCCCACACGGCACGATACACGACACCTCCCCTCACCTCATTGGCCCAAATCGCCGGGTCAGGCGACACACGACACGACACACGAGACGGGGCATCGAGTGGGATTATTAGGGACAGTTGCGGACACCAATAGCCCTACATCGCATTTCTTGTGACTGGGCCCCGTCTTGGATTGTGCATAGAGACAAACACTTTGGCTGGCTGTAATTGGAATTTCACACGAGACGGGGCGGGGTCGGAGACGGGTCGCGATTGGCCGTTTGGGGTAAGATTTGTTACAAAAGAGAAAGAGAAGCAGGTCATGCAAAGGGCACACCCTCCTAGGCAAGTGTACGAGAGGCTCTGTTCCATACTTTGAAAAAATGATACTGAGCCTCTGAAGCAAAGATGAGCGCACAGCACAAGCAAGTCATAGGCAAGAAGAACATGCGCTCGGGGGGCCCGTATGGAAGGCAGAGAATGTGCGGAATGTCAAGTGTAATGTAAGGCCTCCAAGGACCTGCACATACACCCAAGACCCAGCCACCCGACCCGACCCGACCTTGGCCGTTTGGGGGGTATGGGTTTCTCGCCGCGGTGACGGTCGCAGAGAGGGAGGCGGGTCAGGATTGGGCCGGGGGGGGTTTGGGTTTAGGCTGTGTATGCACCGGGTCTCCGTCTCCGTCACCGTGACCGTCCTCGTGCTCATGGTCCGTATCCAGGATACGCCCTCCCCGTATCAATCGGTTTGTGGCCCGGATCAACGGACCTCAAGTATCGGAATTTCGTCACTGTTGTTCCCTCGCGCAGGAACCCCGCGCATTTGCGGCGGGCGTCGGTCCTGCTGCGCGTGGGGCGGGTCGGCGGCGCGTTTGGGCGCTGATCGAGGCTCGGGGCCGCCGCCCACACCTGCTGCTACAGCAGCTGTCGGGGCAATGGCATCCTGCCACCATTCCGCCAGTGGCATCAAATGTCCCTGCCCCCGCCTGGCGATATTTCACCAATTGGCGCCCCGTCCTGCGAGGAAACACCGCGACAGGTTGGTGATTGTTACTTCCTATTCGAGGGCGTCGGTCTCCCATCGAGTCTCGCCACCAATGCGCTCATTATGTCTTTCCAGAGTTGAATGACGGTTGGATTGCTGAAGCCGTGAGGGCTGCTGTTCCCCGACTGTTTGAGAGGAGGCCGCGTGCGCAACCGTGGAACAGACTGGATATGTTCCGCAGCTCGAAAATCGCTGGTCATTCTTTGTCAGTCCCTGATGTGCCGGGCTACTTCTGCTGCCATGTCGGCACCACAAATTTGCGTAGGCGTGCTAGCAGCATGCAACAAAGAGCCCTTCCAGACAGGAATTGCAACAGGCGTCGACAAGAAGAATGGCGCACCGTGTTGTGCAGATTCGGCGCTACTCTTTCTTTTGGCCGCATGCGTAAAGAAGACGTAACTTTGCGCTTTCCTTGGCGTCTCTGGACCAAAGATGTTTAACTATGGTGCATCCGGTGCCCCAAACTCTAAACCTTTCATGACGAGGCAGCAGAGCTGCGATATTTAAGCCACAGCTGCGATGCAGGGCAAAATTATCGGGGGGCGCACAGAGGGGCGCGTATCGCCAGCGTACAGCAGCTTGGGTGTCTGCAAGGATGTTGCAGTGCCCATCGTGCAGGAGACATGAATCATGCGAAAAGCAGCAGCAAGGGAAACCAGCACGACTATTGCCAACAGCATTGTTATATGTTGTTGCGGCCCTATTGTGTTTGTTCACCCCGTTTTCACTTGTGTATCTACAGCCCGTTGTTTGGGCGCTGGTATCTCGATTCTCACTATACTCAGTTTTGGGGATGGTTACTTTACAGTTTACCAGTTTTGGTTCCAGCTTTGTATTTTTGTGCCTTTAAGGGCAATATGCATTGGCAAAGGCAGGCTGTAAATGCAGCTAAAGCAGGCTGTTTGCCCGCAGGCTGTGAGTATCCAGGGGAGAAAATGGGCTGCAAACACCTGTGACACCAATTAGTAATCTGGACAACACAGTCTCAAAATTCCTTTTTCAAAATACCTGCTGTTGATTCTGCAGCCTCGTTCCAGACTTTACTTCCCAAATGCATTGCAGAAGTGAATATTCAGGCGATTGTGAACTCATGGTTGTGTGCTAGAAACCACAATCACATGGTTGTTGCAAGCTATATGACCACGCCGCAAGTTATGGTAGGGAGCAGAGCCACAGCACTTTGTGCTTCCAAAAACTTTCGCCAGAATATGAATGTTGGGTGGCCAGGCTATGAGGACAAGAGCATGCGATTTACAGAGCATGCGTTGATGTTTGTTTGGTCCAGTGGCATAACGAATTCCAAATGGCACAAGACGTCGTTTGACATTCTTCACAGTGCAAGATTTGTTTGCTTGTTGCACTGCACCGCCACTTTCAATGGCAGCGATGGGCAGTATCTGTGTATGTTGCCCTCAGTCGGGACAAGGATGTGCATGCAGACTTGCTGGCCTCGTTGCATGGCAACCACACAGCCTGTATAGTCTAGCACACTCTTATCCTTGCCTCTCTTTCAAATGGCTGCTGTCCTACAGAGCATTCCATACATGTGCAGTGGGAGATGTGAGCGATGCCGTCAGAGATGCCATGAAAGGGTCTCCACAGCTCCTGCCTGAAGACATTTATTTCCGAGACGAGTGTGACACCATTTATGACAGGAATGGCGATGTTGTGGAGGTGCGAGGTAGATTCTTGGTCCCTATCTCATGTGTTGTCATGTTCCAAGTGCTCAAACTCTTTTTATCTGTCTCAGCAGTTTCCTGAAAGGGGATCGGCATGATTCTGCCTCATCTTCCTTTGCCTGAGGAAGAGTTGTCATTTGTCTTATCTCTCTCCAGTGTTCCCATGTTTGTGCAGTGTCTCAGTGATTGGCTCACTGTTGTGTGCTCCAAGAATAAATCCAACACATTGCTGTGAGGGGCCAAGTTGTTTCTTCACTTGATTACTGGGATGCGGACAGACTTGCTTGAAGTCTGTGGCAGTCGCACAGATTTGGGCTACATCTGTTTGCTGCACATTTCTTTTCAATGTAGCTGTTAACGCACCCAATGGTTTGATGCCAGGTCATGTGCTGCGATTACGGTTTCAGATCTGGCACTGGACGAATGTACCAGGATGGTTACCGAGCAGTCCCAAAGAGTGCATGGGACCTGGTGAGTTCGAAGGCATGCTGGCTGTTGCTGTGAATTACCCAACAATGTGCATGACAGCCAATGCAATGGGCTAGCAAGGAATGAAAGATGCATTGCTTGTGGTAGCTTGCTGTTGGGTTTGAATTGGATCCACAACTCTGTAGTCATGTTGCGCTTTCACAGATTCAATCGGCACAACGACAGGCTACCTGGATGCGTGCCAATTCGCCCTGTGGCGCTTGTGCGAGCCTTTTTAGCTGCTTGCGCATCAATTAAGGTCCAGCAACCAACCAGCTGTCACAGACCAGACGCACTAGACGTTAATGTTGCCGTCATCCTGCCACTTTCATCTTGCTCAACTACTGCTGTTGCTTGTCAGGCTGTTGAGAACTTTGCTATTGAGTACAATGCACTGAGAAGGTCAGTGAGATTCGATGAGTACCGACGGATATCGAACCAAAACCCACCACAGTCTCCATTTGGACAGGTAAGCAACAGATGTGATGGATGGATATGCAGCAACAAGCGCCTTCATGGAATCACCATGCAATAGAAACAGTTTTGTCCATCCTATTCTTGGCAGCAGCCCCGCCCGGCCCTTGTGCATATTTGCACCACCTTTTGGGCACATGCCCAAGCAGATGAAGTGCGCTTCTCATCCACTGTGAACTCTGTGGGAAGGATGAGTTTGAACTTCTTAATATGCCTTGGTTATGCCACAGTTCAATTGCTTGACTCCTACTGGAACTTGCTGGAAGTTGGGTATCATTTCACTGAGACGCCAGGCGGGTGGTGTGATAACCTCCAGCGGCTTCTCTTCTTGCATTCTTGTTGTAGATCATCGCAGTTGTATCCATTTGATGCTTGCTCGGTAGTTGTTGTTCAGAGCTTTGGCAATTGGGCATACCTACAGGTGCCCGCACGTGACACCTTGTTCATTGTGGATGCAGCTGAGTTATTGGATCGGAGGCTTCGTGGTTAATTCCTTGGCGAAGGTAGACAAGGCTCTTGAGGAACGTGGCATGGTTGGCGAAATCGACTCTGAATTGGCACGCAACATTTGTGAAAGAGGCGCAAACGAGGAGTGCACAGAGGTGACAGTGGACCATTGTCAGCTGATATGCCTGTCGATCAGCAGTGCAAGAGTTTCAATGTTTGCTTAACACTCCCATGAATGCATGTTCAGAGCTTGAGGGGCATTGGTGCAATGCAGCACACTTATTCCGATCTTGGCAACTGTGGTACCCTTCAATCACCTGCCAACTGCCGTATTAAGGGGTGGGATAATCTCTCGTAGCGATCGCGAGCTCCTCCTAAAAGTGTGCTCTCGTTTTTGAGGGCAGCCATCTTTGCTGTCAATTTTTGGAGGATGGGTTGCAGGCCACTGTGCTCTTTGGTAATGACATGGGTTTCGAACACATGTGATCCACCGTGCAGCCATGCATGGGCCCATACCAGTAATCGGCGTGCCTAAGGACCTTCATTTTGAATAGTTGGCTTTTGCCAGAGCTGCGTGGCGGCAACAAGAAGCGGTTACTGACGTGGGGAAGCATGATCAGAGGTCTGATCCTTCTGCTGATCCCCAGATACTGTCGAAGCTCAAGCAATTGAAACTTGTGAACGAGGCCGTGTGGGAACGTGAAAGGCAACGCGAAAAGGCTGGGGGTGGGGTGGAAGCCTCGCTCCCGGTGAAGGCTGCATATCTGGTACTGTGCTACGTCCTGGATGTACTTTACAACAATCGCCCAATGCAGCGCTTCTGGTTCCTGGAAGTCATCGCCCGGATTCCTTACTTCAGCTTCATCTCGATGCTGCACCTGTACGAGTCGCTGGGATGGTGGAGGGCTGGTGAGTCGTCCAAGGCTCCTGGCACCGATCCCTGCCATTCCTGTCAGTGTCATGCCATTTACTGTTCACGAACTTGTTGGCTTGGTGATCAATGCACCAGCCACTCAACCCGAGGACACGATCCGTGGAAGTGGCGCTTCTGCACTGCAGTTGAAGATGCATCCCAGACAGCATCAGGGTAGTTGCGTTGCTGAAGAGCGCTGTGTGTGAACTGTCGACGACGGCTCTGCAACCGAGTGCCTGCAAATGACCGCGCAATAGGTTGACTTGCTCTGCCTTGCGTGTTTCCAAGCGCTTCTCTGCATTTACCTGCAGGCGCTGAACTGCGGAAGGTCCATTTCGCAGAAGAATGGAACGAGTTGCACCACCTCCAAATCATGGAGACGCTGGGGGGCGACAAAAACTGGATCGACAGGTTCTTGGCGCAACACACAGCCATTGTCTACTACTGGATGCTGCTTGTATTCTATTTCATTTCTCCCGAAACCGCGTACAACTTTTCCGAGCTGGTGGAGCGGCACGCAGTGGACACCTACACCGAATTCGTGGAGTGCAATGCTGACGTCCTGAAGACGATGCCCGCGCCGAGCGTTGCGGCCCTATACTACCTTGGGAGCGACATTTACATGTTCGATGAGTTCCAGACGAAGAGGGAGCCCAGGAGGCCCCTGTGCGCCACAATGTACGACGTGTTCTGCAACGTCAGGGATGACGAGATGGAGCACGTCATGACCATGAAAGCTTGCTCAGACCTCACCATCGGCACTGAACTGGAGCAGAGGCGCATTCCGAGCACGGCTGAAGAAGACTGAACGCCTGTGTGCGATGGGCGCAGCGCGTGAATCAAATTGTCAATGGATGACGCACTGATTGAGCATCGAACCAATGGTATTGGTGGAAGGGGTATTCGATTATGTGCCTTCGGTGCGTCCACCTCCTCCGTTGCGAGCGCCCTTGGAGTATGCGGCGCCCCTGAATAAACGTCCATCCGCCCCAGAAGGGCCAATGGCTGTGTGCTCCAAGTGAAATGCCCGCATTCAGCCACACAACATGCAAGACGGCTTGTCAGGCGGCGCATTGAGCATGCGTTGTGCGCAAGGGGCTCTGTAGCATCACTGGCAGCCGGCGCGAGCGTCTCCGCCTCCAGCCAACCCTAGTAATGCACTTGGCTTTTCCATAACCATGTCGCAAAGTGGGCAGCTGAGGCGACATGACAACCTAGAGACGGAAGTCAGCTTACAAACACAAAAGCACGCTGTCAGACGTTGCCACCTTTCGCAGATGAACGCCACACTTATTCACACATCGACAGCGCAGGCCCAGTTCATAACGTTCAGCCCCGCCAACCGTTTTGTGCTTCGCGCGCCCACCTGTCAGAGGACCCCATTTCCATCTGCCTGTGGCAAGCTTGGCAACTCAGCGTCCAGGATTGTCAGGCACTCCTTCACAAGGGCCGCCATTTCATCTCCACCAATCCTTTGGGACAGTGCCAGTCGTTGCTGGCAGTCGGGAATGCTCCGAAGAAACTCCAGCATGCAGCTCGCGAGCACTGCCTTGTTCACGCGGCCAAGGACATAGCCACTTCGTTGCCCCCGCTGATCAACGTACATCTGGGCTATCTGATCAGGAGCATGCAACCGAAAACCCATTAGTGTGGTGCCGCACTGGCATTCAGATGACCAAACTGGAGTCAAAAGGTTTTCCGCTACAAAAGCGGGATGACCATGTGTCACGTGCTGCACGCAGCCGAAATTTGCGCGCATTGCACGGCAGGACGGACACACCGTATGAGGGCACTGTGCACGTTTCCTCCATTTGCGTTGGCTGCCTGCTAGCATATAACATTGGCATAGAAGGAGCTGACAGCTGTACTCAACGGTGAGGCGACACGGGACCAAGCCACGTGGCAACAGCTGGATGCATGATGGTAAAAGGGTCCCTAGGGTGTGCAGGCAAACCGCGTTTTCATTCTGCAAGAAAATGGACCTCCTGCAGCCGCCAAAAGCCGCTGCATCGTTCCCGTGCCACTACGCCAGCCACTGGCGCGAGGACAATGCATTTTTAAACAACGCTGCAAGGTCAGAGGATTTCATCAAAATAGCTATTTGTTCTACCTGAGGGACTGCAGCAGTGACTCGACAACAGCGATCCACAGACCAACTCCCTGTCCATCACTGCAGCCCTGCCCGCAGACAATTCAGTGAGCCGCCCAGTCACCCACCTGCTCCAGCTGATCCTCAGAGAAGACAGCCTCGCGCTGAACGCCTTGGGCAAAGGACTGCATGGCATCCATTCTGCCAGACAGGACGCCCAGCGGCACCCTAAACTGGGATGCTACTTCCAGCATGTGCTCCCAGAGGGTAAGCACCCAGTCCTGAGGGCTGCTGAATTTATAGCCCCTGGCAACCACCAGGGCCTCCCCAATGTTGGGCAGCTTAGGTAAGACTTTCCGGCATTGGCTGTCGCTCAGCAACACCCACTGACGCTCAGGGAGACAGATCTGCGGAGACAAGAGCAGCGCTGTCAGTTGCGCATCTGGCGTTGCACTCATGATTCGGCGTGTGCTACCGTAGAGGGCGATTTCCAACATTCACAGACACGAGTGTGCAACTCCTTCAGGGAACACAGTGTGCGTCAACCAGCCTGGATGCACCATGAGCACAGCTGCTGCATCGAGATCACAGCGTGGAGGTCCAAACGCTCATGAACAGACAAACCAGTACAATGGCATGGACAGGGCTCACCCACTTTGTCTCGCACTGCATGAATGGTGAGCGATCCCCGCGAATGCACCACATGGGGTGGTCCCTGGGTCACACTTACCTGTTGGGCCACAAGTGCAACCATGGCACTACATCTGGCTGCCGCAACACAACAATCAGCGGCAGAATACTCCATGGCAGCCATCAACAGGAGCTCCATTGCCCCCAACAGAAGTCGGGTGTTGGACCGCTGTTTGACATATCCCTCTAGTTTCTGAAAAGCACCACAAGAAGATCGCAATTCAGCTACTCATATTCCCAACAGCCTGTAGCCAGCATGCCCCAAGCAGCACGGCCACCCATATCACATCACAAAGGAAACCACTGCACATAATTGTACATTCCGAGGAGGATAATTGTATACGCCCAGCCTTAACTTGCGTACAGAGCCAGAACGGCACGAACTCAATCGTTGCGACAATCGACGCAACTCAATCGCGGAAACAATATAGATAACAATGTAATGCCTGTTAGCATATGTCCCCATGCTTGCTCAATAAGCTTGCGACATGGAAAGGGCAAGGGGCAGAGTGAGGAACAACAGGCGGCAATACATGTAGTCTCTTCTTATCCACTTGTCCCCCATGCCCACTCAGGGCGTGCGATGCACAACCACGGTCTCTGCATACAGGCCGATGCCTCTCCTCACCGCTAGCGCCTGCTTCTTGAGGCCGTGGGCTATATCCACGTGCACATCGAAATGCTTGTGCACAAGGTCAAGGGCGAGAACATCATTGGGCCTGTGCAGATCGATCGAGCGTAAAACTGCTGCACGAAGTGCCCTGGCATCGTCGCCTGTCAACTGGCATTCTTTTAGGAGGAGCTCCAGCTGGTTGTGCTGAACCAAGAGATCGAGTGGCTTTCGAAAACCTTCATAAAGACCCAACCCTGTTCACACAACACGCCGTATTGATTGAGCAAAGTAAGACTCCCTTGCCCACAAGACCAGTTCAACGCTCAACAGTGTAGTATAGCAACCTGTGCAAGCATATATGGCAATGGCAAGCGGAATGCATAACACCATGGAGCAAGTCTACTGAGCCCAAACAAAGCTTGCGCAACAGGAAACTGGGGGACGGTGAACCTTGTTTCATCCTCCAGCAAGCTCAACACGCACGGAGCGAAACCTCTCCAGCGCAAGTCATACCTAGGATGATCTTCACCAGGGCTGAGTAGTTCTTCTCTGAAGCATACACTTCGATCCTTGACCCTGCCAGTTCCAGAAGAACGTCGATCCCCTCCACATACTGGCAACGTCTGTAGAAGTTGTGAGACAGCACCAGAATGTCTGCCTCAACTTGACTCGGCAGTGCTGCATGCCTCTCCAGCAGCAGCTGCAGCAGTGCATTTCCCACTTCCGGCCAGTCCCCACAGATGATAGCGTTGGACATGAATTCATCCCGGCTGCGTGCATCAGCAGGCCCAGTGTTCAATACCAGGGAGAGCAGCAGCAACACTAATTCTTACTGCAACTTCCATGCAGGCGAGCCTCCCCCAGATGAACAAACACAGCAGGGCAGCAAACAGGAGAGCAACAGGTTTTAGCGAGACTGAACCCACCAATGTCCCTGCAGACCTGATGCCCAGAGGAAGGCACGCAGGGAAGAAAACTAAGTGCCTCCAGAGATAGACAGCGCTGCACCAGACAGCAGCCGTGGCAGCTTGCATACAAGCCCATGTGGGCTGCGCTGGTATGAATATGGTATAAATATGCCAGGTGCATTATTTCTGCACTAGGCACTGCGCCAAGGAACCTTGGCAGCATTGCCACAAACATGCACAGCTGAAGTTCTGAAACCTGGCCGCCCTATTACCACGGAACCTGGCAAAACATTGCATGCCACACAACTGGAGTTTTGGCCTCCACACAGGTGCATGATCAGCAAGGTACACAACGGTGAGGAGGTGATCAGCATTGCCAGTCTCGAAACGAAGTTGCTCAAGGAT